CAAAAATCCTAAAACTAGAAAAACGACCTGAAGGAAATTCTAAAAGTACACGACTCGACGAAAAGTGAAAATGAATCTCGTATGAGAATCTAGGATCAAAACGAGACATTTTGCAATAACTTTCATTAATTACACAATAGCCCCTACAAAAATGGATAACTATAAAACTTTCCAGAATGAAAATAAAGATTTATGAAAAACAACCCAAGAAATATCAATGTTTCTGAAGAATCCTTTCATTCACGCCCATGCGGGAGAAAGAAACAACCGGCGAGCTTTTCTCCAAAAGTAAAGCTACGTGTTTCGAGGAAATCAACTGAAATGAAAACTAATGAAGTCAAAACTCAACTCCGAACATGAAAAGTGATGTTGTGCCAACAAAGCGACAAATGGGAAAAAGACGAAAAGTGAATAGTGCCCAAAAAATGAAAATGTGGAAATAACTCAATTTTTAAAGAAAGTTGTCAATCCAAAGGAAAGAGTCTCGGAAACCAATCTCAAGCACTCTAGATGACACTAAGCGACGAGAAACCAAACTCAAAAAATAAATAAATAAATAAAAAATCAAAAAAAAATCAACAGAAAAAAAATATGCGTAAAATTTGAGAAAAATGAAAAGAAGAAAAATGACAGGGTCATTACAAGAAATAAAACAATACATCAATAAATCCGAGAATAAGCATAATAATAATCATATATAAAGAATCATATTATGCAACCAACACAAGATTAAAATCATATAATCTGTATTTAACTTGCTGAAATAGTTCAAAGCAATTAAATCCTCCATTATCAATATGCAAATTTAATTAAAATTTTATACCGATTAATCTTTAGTATAACAACATCAGAAACAATCCATTATTATATTATACTGCTACTACACGATAAAAATCACATATTATCCAATTAAATTGTAGAAATTATATTAAGCAATGAAATTATCCATTAACAATTTGTTAATTTCATTAAAATTCCATATTGTTCAAGTTATTAGCATAAGAGCACAAATTATGCATTCTGGGATTTTAATCTACTCATTTAAAATTATTTAAAACCCCCGTGACCTTCCAAAGCAACCCTAGAACTTCAAATTCCAACAACAATAGCAAAAACCCATGTATAGGTAAATTCCCAGCAAGGGAGCCGGCTCCCTCCAAAAAGGAGCAGGCTCTTACCATCATGGAGCCGGCTCTTGGCCTAAGGGACCAGTCTCCTTTCTCCATGGAGCCGACTCTTTCATCTAAGAGCCGTGATTTCTTACAGAGAGAGCCGGCTCTCTCCCTTGGGAGCCGACTCTCGACCTACTGCAACCCATCTTCTCCATCTCCAGCGATCTTCAACCCTTCTGTTGTCCATTATTAATGGTCCTAAGGTCTGAACTATTTCCCGAATAATTCCAGATAATTATATAAAGTAGATATGCATCTTAAACACAGATTCAAACAAGCTATTATGTAATTTAATTCAAGATCAATCAAGAACACAAAATAGCATATAAAATCAGTTTTAAATCAATTTAGGCATGCATACATGATCAATTAAAGTCTGATTAGTTCCTGAAATTAACTTAGGCCTGTATAGAAACACAAATATAAGGGAAAGAGTAAGAGCAAAATTTGCCTTAAGGGTTTGAATAAACCCCAACTCCTTTCTTCTCTGGCCAAAACCTTTACTCCGGTAACCTCTGGATGTCGTCATCGTCTTCTGCAGGTTGGTCTACACCCACACAAGCAACCTCTTTGATCTTCTTCCTTGGTTCGACTTTCCCTTGGCCGAAACCCTCTTTTCTCTCTCCCACTTTTCCTCACTTTTCCCTCTCTGTACTCTCGGTTCTCTCTATAATACCCCTAATTTTAAAAAGGCTATTTCTGGTATTTAATTTATGATTTTTATTACATTTTTTTTTTATTTAATGGATTACTTGAATTAATTGACTTATTTGCTTTAATTAATTATTTGCATTATTTGCATTAATTGTGATTAATTGAGTTAATTGTTTTAATTATTTATTTGGCTTTAATTTTCATTAAATTGTATTATTTGATTTAATTACCTGATAAAATTGTTATTAATTAATTGTTTTTTTTTTTTTTGAATTTACTTACTTATCGTAAGTTAGGTTTACAAGTTTAGGTTTAAATTTACATGGGTAGCCGACGTTGATTATAACCTAGGTTTATCTATGGGCCGAGTTATATCTATATGGACTTAGGGTTTCTGTAGTGTTTATATATATGTGTGTATACGTTGGTTTAGGGTTACAAATAAAACCCTATTCACCATAGTCACGTATACAGTGAGATAGGGGGAAAACAGAGCGAAAGATTGAAGGGAAACACAGAGTGAACTTGGGTGGTTAGCAAAGCATCTCAAGGAGGAAGGAGCGGGGTAGGGTGGAACTATAGGGTAGGACACGAACATATCACACAGAGACGGTGAATTAGAATTTCAAATCTGAAATTCAAAGGCAAGTTCTGTTCTTCTCTCTCCCGTTAATTCGTGTTCTGTGCATGACTAGTTGGACTCCAGGGGTTAAATAAAGGTTAAAACAGATTTAAACCAACATAGTAACATGTTTTATGCATACATGAATTTAGTTTAATCTTTGAATTAACATCGTGAATTATCTGCTTTGAATAATTTTTGATGTTCTGCTATTTGTATCATGTATGGTAGATGTTTCAGTTTTGTTGCGGTTGGGATTAGTGATGTGATTAGATGTCTTGTAATCACTCTAAGACTGAGTTTGAACTCTAAAACAAGTGCTTAGAACAATATTTAATTGCACTAAATTAAACTGAAGTAAATTCTGTTGGAACTTGCTTAGAATTGGACAACAGAGGTTCTGTAATCATAGCTTTTAAGCTTGTGTTCCATGCATGTTTTAGTTGAATATCAGTGGTTTAATATATGCCTAGGACCGAGTTTGAACTTGAACAAAGATTTAAAAAACATCTCAGAGACTCTGTAATCACCGGAGTTAGAGCAGACGAAGCTGGATCAGGCAACGGTTGCAAAGGGGAAAGGAGCAGGCTCTAAATTACCAATAGAGCCGGCTCAAAGTGGATGGAGCCGGCTATATAAAGGACTTGGATCCGGCTCAATGTTGAAGGAGCCGGCTCTAAGTGAATTTTAGAGCAGGCTCAATGTTTTTGTTGAGCCTGCTCTATTCTTGCCTCGCACAGTAGTGTTTTAAGGGGCTGTTTGGGTTTTCTGGGTTCTGTACTTCATTTAAATTGTTTTAGGTGATGTATGGGACTGTATAAGACTGGTATTATGATGGAAAAATATAAATTCATAATTGGATTGAAGGATAGAGCAAGGAGAACCTAAGAGGAAACGGGTAGCTTGCACACTGTCTAGTTGGTTTTAATTACTGTAACTTGGCAAAGATATTTTATATATTTTAATTATATATAATCATATATTTTTACAGTGTTATGAGTACGGTAAATTAATTACATTTAACTATACTTAGCTTGGATTTAAATTGATATTTAATTTGTATCAATTTATTGGCTGTTTTGGAGGATTTAAATGTTATGTCTTATTCTAGCTACTTAAATGATTGGAGCATGATATTTAGGTTCTGTAGTGAATACCTAATGTTGGTATATGTATGAATTTATACAAATGCATATACTGGAGGATGGTTGTTGATTATATAGTGTTATTTTAATAACTATGTTATAATGGAGGATTGTGTGTACCGGTATGAGACGGTGACATATTAGGTATGGATTAGTCAAACACTAAATCCTACCTAATTTGGATTAAGGTATGGATTAACCCTATGAGTTAAGTCCATCACCTACTGGTGTCATATCAATCAAATAATTGAATGACTTAATATGGTTTCAGGATGGATTTGCTTTACATTTATCAAACCACTTTTCAGATGGTTGATATTTTGTAATAAGAGGACACGGACTTTATATATTTATTATATGTGCCATGGTATGAGCTTGAGTCTCAGGACCATGGTTAGGGTGCGTATACTGCCTAGGATGGATAGTTGGACAGAGGTGTTGTTCCCTGGTAGATCTAGATACACATGACCACAGTATGTGCGATTTGCATGGTATCTCTGTTCAGGCTGAGACAGACCTTTTTGGACTAGTGAGCGTCCTATAGTGTGTACTTATACATATATGGACTACTCTAGATATTGTTGAGTCTTTCTAGTATGTATCTGCGTATCGGATTCCTGTTTGGATTGTAGTAGATCAGGACTTGCATGTGGGCCTGACCCACCCTTATATTTTTCAGGTACTCGTCAGTTCCAGGGTTAGAGTTTGATCGTGCAGAGCAGATACAGACTTCTATTCTACCGACAACGTAGGACTTCTTTTCAAATATTAGATTTGGATTTTATTTTCAGTTTTCTTCCATGCAGTTTGGGATTTTATTAGGGGTCCATTAGAGATGGATTCCCGAGTTGTTAAACTTATGGAGTTTGGATTGTCAAGATTTAAATATTTATATTTGAGGATTTATTTTAGTTTCTTTCCGCTCATTATATTATTTCTTTAATCACTTTGTATTCCGTGTTCGTTTTTAAAATATTAATTGTCTGATATCCCTCAGATTTGGGTTTGAACCTGATCAACCCGTGTCTCCGATCCGAGGGGTATCACACTCTCTCCTTTTCTTAGCCTCCAATATAATCACGTAATAAATTCTAACCCCCTTTAGAGACATACAAGGTCATATATATAGGCTAACCCAATTAACCCTAATCCTAATTGTACCCCAAGTCCAACAATAAGGCAAAGGATAAAAGAAAATAAAAATAAAAACAATAAATATATATATATATATATATATACCTTTCGCTAAACTAACGTGAATAACTATATATATATATACACACACACTATGTATACTTACAATTATATATATAATACTAACTATGCAAACTATTAGTACTGACTATAATTAATAATTATTATTATAATAGCCTTATATACCTATATACTCATATATATATATATAACCATTTATGGGTAAAATCCATACCCATCAAAGCTTCTATCCAAGTAATCTATCTATTACTACTATCCACCTTCATCCTTTTTAAATAATAAAAATAAAAATAAAAACAACTAATTCATTTAATCCTAACAAAATAAAAATATAAACAAATACATATCATCAAATCAAACACATCAATTACTAAATTAATTACACTCCATTTAAACACATTTAGATCACACAAATACAAACCAATAATACACATAATTTAAATTAAACAACTAAGTCAATTAAACACATAACAAATGGCCAAATAATCAATTAATCAAATAAAAATATAATTAAAATAATTAAATAAATACCGAAATAATATTTTTAAAATTAAAAATTAGGGATATTATAGAGTGCTCCTGTCATAGGTCTTTTGCTCTTGATGGTTTCTTCTCCGGTGATTTTGGATATTCCTTTCTATCCTTGCCAGAAAGGCAAACGTGCGCAGCAGGATGTAAAGCCGGGGGTTTTACATTTTGGAAGAATTGCTGACCTTTCAGTGCAAAATTTTCCTTTTGATCCAGGTATCGCTATAAGATCTTGTGTTTTTATGTTAGTTTTAATTTTATATCTGTGTGTTTTGCCTTTTAGATTTCTTTGTTTGCCTTCTTCCTCTTTTTGGATTTGGTTTTCCATGGCGAGTAGATTGGCTATGAGTGACGAGACTATTCTAGTTGCCAATACCTCTAGTCTATGGATGGGTGATGATGGATTTGTTGGCCAAGAAAGTAAGCTTTTGGTTCAAGAGGAGTTGTGGTGTATTGCAAATCCCGGCGATCTTCTGGTTCAAGGGTCAGTGTATGTTTACGGTGAGGTGGTAGAGGTTTCCCTCCAGTCGCCGATCACTTTTTGGTCAACGTCCATCTCTGATCCTCTGATACATCGGCTACGTGTCACCTTTTGGTTGGTCGGCACATGGTCTGCATATGGGGTCCACGTTACATCAGAAGTTTTTATTATTTTCCTTGCTTGACGCAAAGGCAGAGATATTTTGGGTTGGTGATTGGTTGACAGCTATTAACGAGCTGTTCCCTCTAATGCCCTTGGATGGGCCTATTTGTTATCTTCAGCTTAGACCCAATTTCTTGTACCTTTTATGGTTGATTATTGGGCTGTGCGGGCCCATGCTGAGTATTGTTTAATTGCTGGTCCGGTTGTGGTGGGTACTATGATATGTGGTCCATTTAAAGAATGCCCATCAGTGGCTATTGTTTTGAATGGTTTGGTGGATTACATCCCCTTTTGGCCTTTCTGTCATTTTCATTGCGCATCTTGTTGTGCGTTCTTCTGCTATTTCTCTTTGCTGTTCAGCGAATTTGTGTTGGGTTCCTCCCGGTTTCTTAGAGTTGCAGTGTGTCCAGACTGCCTTATCTTCAGCTCCTTTATATGTTGGAGGCGACGAAAACGTTTGTCATGACTATAAGGGTTTTGTCTCGCCGGTGGTTGTGGCCGATATATCGACAGCGGTGTCTTGTTGTTTTACGGCTACCTTATATCATGTCTTGATAGCATTTCGTTTTTCTTTCGTTGATATCCGTAAGATACTTCGGGTTATCCCCTCGGCTTGGGTTAACTCTATTTACGAGGTGGTCAATGTTGTTGTTCAACTTTCTGGGAGTCCTGTTGATACGAAATATGGGATCCAGTCCCTTCTGGTGGATTTTGTTGTACTTGCTACGTGCTACCCATGCTATATCTTTAAGTGATGCAGGTGTTGATGATACTGTGCTCTATGTTGATGTCCATCCGCTGTAAATGGGCCTCATGTACTTGTTTCTTTGTTGTTATAAAATCTTTATGTTTGCCGGGTAAAAAAAGAAAATATATATATACACACACACACACACACACATCATGAATTTAATTCATGAGCCACATTTTGAAAGAAATACCCCAATATTACTTTCTATCTTCCCTTGCTTTTCTCTCTCTAGACTCCAATGCGAAACGAAGATGGGAACATCTCAGGCCACAACGAATATTACTTTCTATCTTCCCAAGTTGCTTTTCTCGCTTTAGACTCCAATACGAAACATAGACGGGAACATCTCAGGTCACAACCATCTGAAGCAATTACCTCCCTGGACTCCAATTACATCCACGACTACTTCTTACGCGTCTTCACACCATCAATTGATCTATTCCCTAACCAAAACCTTTTATTTCTTATCCATTAAGAAACTACTAAATTGTGATCATGGTAGTTTTTAACAACCAATCATCTAACTTCTGGAATTGGGAATTTTCTGATTATGGGCAAGTTAATCTCTGTATTTGCACAATTTTGTTTGCTTAGAGTTTTTCCAACAATCAAAACGTACTTTTTTTACAAAAAGAAACATACAATTTAATTACTTACTAAAAAACATACAATTAAATACAATTAATTATTGAGTAGTGCTACACATCTCATATTTTAATTCGAGATTATATCTTGAATTTGAATTTGACGTGATTACTACTATCCTCATAAAGTTTTAATAGTTATTCAATATTTTTTATGCTAACAAAATCAATTAATTGCATCGTTAAAACTCTGTCATTTGCGCATTTGTGAAATCATTCATTCTTACTTACAAATATCAATATCAAACCTTAATTAGAGAAAAGAGAAAGCTGATACAACATAGAGAGAGATTATAAAGGCATAAAGCAAGAGAAAAAGAGGGGCTAACAAAAGGGTACTTGTAATATTTGAAAAAACATAATTATTAATTTTTAAAAGTAGGATTATTGGTGTTATTTTGTTTAAGATTATAGTGTAATTGTATAAAAGCAAGTGTTCTTTCTAGATAAAGTCGAGAGAAATCAGTGGTGACAGTTTAACGGTTACAAGTGGAAGGTAAAATCCTCTTCTTCTTGTTTAATTAGCTAATGGGGTTGTCATATTAGCTCTCTTCTTTAATGAAAGTAAGTCCAATAAACAGAGGTCTCTTCTTCTTCTTCTTCTTCAATTGTTTTTTTTTTTTTTTGTAACTGGCGTATCTAGGGGCTTGCAGCTAACTCAAACTTAGTCTTTTGAACACACTGTAAAAAATGACCCCACAAAATTGTTTGCACTCTAGAGATTATTATTATTTTTTTTACTCAAAGGTAGGGGCGGAGGGAGAGGGGGGCAGGGGCCGGCCCCCACCCCCAAAAATAAAAAAAAAATTATTAGTATATATAAATAAAAAAATAAAAAAATATTAGTTTATTAGTGTACGCCCCCATTCATTCAGCAATTAGCATATTAGGGCACACACCGACGAGAGGGAGCACTGGTAAACTAACTTCTATATCCAGATGCGACAGATGCCTAACATCTCTGAGCGAACGGAGTCGATGGTGAGAAGAACCTGCGGTCCCAAGGATGGCCAGAGAGGATTCTGACAACGACTGAAGGATGATACATATAAGAGAAGAAAAACTCTTCGCATGTAGCAATCCATGACACTCCTTTCTCATCATTAGTTCCATCCAATGTGAACCACATCTCTACGAAAATCTAAATGCCCACTTATAGAAGAAAAACTCAATTATTTGTTGAATAATTAAAAAAGTTGAATGATATTACTATATAAAACAAGTAAATACATAAGTTCATAATTATATAGTTTGCTATGTTAATCAGCAGAGAGTTCCCACCAAATTTATAGTCCCAAAGCCAGAGTCATTGCTGCTAAATAGAGTTGGTGAGAGGATCTGTTTGGGTGTGGCTGTGTGAAATTTTTTTCATTATTGAGGGATAATCTTGTCTTTTCATGAAAGTTCATCAGAAGAATCTAAAAATGTCTAGCTAATAGTCCCAAAGTCGAGGCTCAATATAATTTGAGCCCTAAGACGAAAAAAATAAAGTGGTCTTTTAATAGAATCCACTAATGTGTTCATATTAGTATTATGTTCATTAGTTGTTTCACGATTTTTTAACTTAGCACTAATGCTGCTTTTGGTGTGTAGGAATGGAATGTCCATTCCAACCATTTATTTGTTTAGTATGCAATTTAAAGTGAGAATGATCATTTCATTGGAATGAAAATTCATTTCACAACTAAACTTATAGAATGGACATTCCAATCCAAGTAAAATTTTTAAGAAAATCAACTTCCTAAAAATCCAAAAATAACCATTACCTTCCATCACCTCCATCGCCTTTCACCACCGTCGCCACCACTATCGCCACCACCTTCCACCATCACTGCTACTGCCTTCCACCGCCACCACCACCACCGTCATCGCCTTTCACCACCTTCCAACACCACCATCGCCAACAGCTTCCACCACCACTGTCACCGCTTTCAATCATTGCTGCCGCCACCACCACCACCACCACGACATCTATCACTACCGCCACTGCCTATCACCATAGCCACTGCCGCCACCGCCTTTCACCATAGCCACCGCCGCCACAACCTATCACCACCACTACCACCTCCACCATCGCCTTTCACCACCGCCTTCCATCGCCACTGCCTTCCACTGCTACTGCCACTGCCACCACCTTACACCATCGACTTACACCACCACCACCACAACCACTGCAACCATCATCACCACTTCCTTCTACCACCACCTTTCACCACCACCACCACCGCCGCCGCCGCCATCGCCTTCCACCACCGCCACCACCACCGCCGCCATCGCCGCTGTAATACCCCTAGTTTCAAAAGGATATAATTGGGATTTAATTTTTATATTTTTGAATTTGAGGTGCTTATGTGGTTATGTGTTTAGATGATTTTACGGTTTGTGTTGAATTTAATTAAAGGTGTGTTTAACTAATTTGTTTAAATTACATTTTCGTTTTAATTATTGTATTTAAATTGGGTGGTTTGTTTAGTGATGTTATTTAAGAGTATTTTTATTTATTTTAATTGAATTTCTTGTTTTAATTGTTTTAAATTGTTTATTGGTTTATTAGTTTTTTTTTTAAATGATTTAATTGGATTAAATTAGAAGTTATTGATTATAATATGAACTTAGGGTTATATTCTTTTAGGAATTACGGTTTGGCCGACTGGGGTTAATTAGGGTTTCTGTCTCTAATTACAATTGGACCTAGGTTTTAGTATTTCCTATATATATACTGTTATAATTCTGTATGAGGGTGGTAGAACTCTGTTTCACGAACAGTGAGTTTTTGAGGGAAAACAGAGAGAATGAGCATTAGGGTTTTGGCCAAGAACCAAGGAGAGGAAGAAGAGGTGTTGCTCATGGGATGAACCTAGGGCAACAAAGGAGTGGACGATAGTCGAAAGGTCGCCAGAAAGTCTGGACAAAGGACGATTAAAGGTTTCAAACCAAAACTACATAGGCAAGTTCTCTCCTTTCTCTCTCCCGTTGGCCTGTGTTCTGTGCATCCTAGATATCTCTAGGATTTTAATTGGATATTAAATGGATCTTACATGCTTATATAGGTTAAATTAAGTAGTTATATGTGTTGAAATTAAACTGAAATTGTTCTGGAATGTTTGGGTCAGTGTTTGATTTGTAAGCATGTTTGAATCGGTAATAGTTTATATGTTTCTTTTGAATGCAAACTGTTTTAAATAAATAACGGGAATGATGTAAGATGAAATTTAGACCCTTAGGTTCAGTTTTAATAAAGAACAGAGGAGGTGGAAGCTGCCAGAGACGGTGCAGAAGGCCGTAGAAGTGGCAGAAACGCAGACGGTTCTCAAAGAGAGAGAGAGCCGGCTCCATGGAAGAGGGAGCCGGCTCCCCCCAAGAGTGGAGCCGCCTCTAGGGAAAGTGGAGCAGGCTCCACCCTTCTAGAGCCGGCTCCAATGAATATTGGAGCCTGCTCAATCATTTTTTGGAGCCTGCTCAACTAGTTTAAGAGCAGGCTCCCCTTTATGCGTGAAATCTGATGGTTTGGGCACTGTTTGGAATTTTAAATTGTTGCAAGGACTGAAATAAAATTTTTAAGAGTAATTTCAAGGGGTTTTAAACTCTCTAGTTGGGAAATTTGGTTTATAGAGTAATTAGAATAAACAGTGTAAAAATAAGCAACTTTGCACGCTCAAACGAATAGGAAGGACTAATTTGTTAAATCTTGTTTTAAAAATTTAACGGATTGTAGTGTAGACTCCAAAAATTATAATGGGTTGTTTTAGAGCCTAATATGCATAATTAGTGTCCTTGTGCTCATGGATTTAACCGTAGAGAAGTATACAACGGTGTAGGCTGCTAACGGATGAAGGGGGTTTAATTGCCTAAATTAGTTTTAGCAATTTAACGGAATATGTATATATTTATAAATCTTGTTGGGGTGGCATGCTAGGATCATTTAATTAACAAGTTTGATCTAGGCATATCCTGGATGTTAATTGTTGAAATACTAAATACTTTTCTGGAATGCATGGATTTAAGCTTGGAACTTTAGTTGCGGTAATTTTAAGCATTACACTGCAATTATTTGGATTAGAGTTTGGACTTCAATTGGATGTTGGCTTGGAATTAATTGAAGAATTAAATATATATTTTCTGTCAATTACATGGATGAATGCTGGAATTTAACTTGACGAATTAGTAAACTTTGTCTTGTTTGATTTCATGGATGGATTCTGGATTTGTGGTTGATAACTTGTTTAAATTGTGTGTTTATCAACTATATAGATAATGTGGACTTTATTTGATGTACTGCTTATATTGTTGCATCATTTACGGATCATATGCATGGTATGTACCGGTATGGGACGATGACATACGGAGGGACGGATTAGGTCACAACGCTAATTCCTACCCATTCATACATACGGAATGGATTAACTAAAACAGTTAAATCCTACATGGTTTCATGTCCTGTCAACTAAAACAGTTGAACGACATACTGGATGGTTGTTTATATTTCTGCATTAGGATGGATAGGGTTTTAACTAAAACGTTTAAATCCTGATTATATGTTGTGTCTTGACCAATGAACTATTGACCGGCACAACATTGTATTTGGAAAGAACTTATATATATATTTGGAGTAGGGATTTAATTAAAATATTTAAATCCTAATTTTATGTCTTGTCATGGCAATGAATCAGTTGAGCGGCACTACATTGGTTTGGATTGAAATTTATATATATAAATTATGGTACCGCGATTTGAGCTTGAGTCTCATAGTCGACGGTTAGGGTGCGTATATGCAGTAGGATGCGTAGCTAGCTATGTTGGTTGAGGTATACCCTGTTAGGCTTAGGTAGTCATGCCCACTTAGGTGCGTATTGCATGTTACCTTCTATTCAGGTTGAGACCCTCAGCATAGTTAGTGAGAGTCCTGTAGTGTGGATATATATTTATCTATTACGGACTATATAGATATGATTGAGATGTCTAGGATGTATCTGCGTATCGGGTCTCTGTTTGGATTGTAGTTAGGATAGAACTTGTTCGTGGGCCTGACCCACTATTATTTTTCAGGTAACGGACGGTTCCAGGTCTTAGATCTTGTTCATGCTGAGCAGAGACGACTTCTCATTCTTCCGACGACGTAGGCGGTTCCTGTATGGTTTAGCATTGGACTTCTTTTTAGTTGTTCGCTTTCCAGTATTGCCTTGTTATTAGGGGTCCACCAGATGGATTCCCGAGTTGTATTAGAAATGGGAAATTTGGTTGTATCAGAATAATTCTTTATTAATTTAATTTTATTCTGAGGTTTCAGTATTTGGTTTATCATTCTAGTTTCTTTTCAGCAAATTTTTATTTATTCCTGTTTCCTTAATTGTATTCTGTATTCGTTTATTACTAATTTGTTTGATATCCTCGGGTAGTCGGGCGTGGGCTTGGCTAACCCGCATCCTGAAATCCGGGAGTATCACAGCCGCCGCCACCACCACCACCGCAACCTTCATTGCCTTGCACCACCACCACAATCACCTCCTTTGGCTTCCACCACCGCCACTTTCACCACTATCTCCTTCCACCACCACCACCACATTATTGCCATGACCTTCCACCAACACCATTGCCGCCTTCCACCACCATCGTCGTTGTCTTCTACCATTGCCACCACCATGCGATACCCCCGGATTTCCGGATGCGGGTTGACCAGGTCCACGCCCGATTACCTGAGGATATCAAACCAATAAGCAATAAACGAACACAGAATACAATTAAGACAAACAGAAATAAATAAAATTGGTGAAAAGAAACTAAAATGATAATCCAGAAACAGAAACCTTAGAATAAATTTTATAAATAAGAAACTATTCCAATACATTCAACCTTTCCATTTCTAATGCAACTCGAGAATCCATCTAGTGAACCCCTAATAAAAACCAACACTAAAACAACAACTGAAGAAAATCTAATGTTAAACCCCGAAGAAAACTCCTACATCGCCAGAAGAATGAGTAGCCGTCTCTGCTCAGCATAAACAAGCTCTAAGATCTAGAACCGTCTATTAACTGAAAAATAATAGTGGGTCAGGCCCACGAACAAGTTCTATCCTAACTACAATCCAAACAGAGACCCGATACGCAGATACATCCTAGATGTCTCAATCATAACTATATAGTTCGTAACTATATATATATATTCACACTACAGACTCTCACTGGACTACAATGGGGGTCTCAACCTGAATAGAAGGCAACATGCAAAATCGCACCCAAAGGTGAGCATAAGTACCTAGACCTAACAGGTTATACCTCAACCACCATAACCAGTTACGCATCCCATTGCATATACGCACCCTAACCAACGATCCTGAGTCTTGGCAACTGTTCGTTGCCAAGACATGACATAAATTAGGATTTAAATGTTTTAATTAAACTCATTTCCTTCCTAATACAGAAATATAAACAACCATCCAATATGTCGTTCAACTGTTTTAGTTGACAGGACATGCAACCATGTAGGATTTAACTGTTTTAGTTAATCCATTCCGTATGTATGAATAGGTAGGAATTAGCGTTTTGATCTAATCCGTCCCTCCATATGCCACTGTCCCATACCGGTGCATATAATGCATATGATCCGTAAATAATGCAATACTTTAAACAGTACATCAAATAAAACCCACATAATCCATATAGTTGATAAAAATAGAATTTAAACAGTTCATCAACTAAAAATCCATAATAATATCCATATAATTGACGAGACAAAGTTTAATCGTTCGTCAATTTAAAATCCAGAATCTATCCATGTAATTGACGAGACAAGATTTAATAGTTTATCAATTCAAAATCTAGTATACATCTATGTAATTGACAGAATATAATTTACTAATTCTTCAATTAAAAACTAGACCAACATCCATGTAATTAACATAAAATATGTAATTTATTCTTCAATTAAATCCAGGAGAAATATAACAAAATCTAACATGTATAAGACCCTATTATGCATCCAAAACAACTTTAAAACTCCTACTCCAGTTATATAGGTTGCTAAAATAAATGTTAGCACTAAATACTTTACATCCGTCAACCGTGTGCGACATTGCTTAAAACTTCTACACTGTGAATACCATTAGCATATAGAGATAAATTATGCACTGTGGATTCAATTACAACATAATATCATGTTAGAGTCCATGCTACAATCCGTTAAATTTTTAAAACAAGATTTAACAATTCAGTCCTTCATATTCGTTAAAGCGTGCAAGGTTGCTTATTTTTATACTGTTTATTCCATTTGCTCAACGAATCAAATTATGCAATTAGAGAGTTTAAAATCCTTTGAAATTACTTTTAAAATTCTTAGTCCAGTCCTTGAAACAGTTAAGAATCTCAAACACGCCCAAAACCGTGCCTAAACAATTACGGAACGCAACCAAACGAGGCCAAAACAAGGGAGCCTGCTCTCTAAACAACAGAGCAGGCTCTAAGCATCGTGGAGCCTTCTCTTTTAAATCAAAGAGCCTTCTCTTTCAAATCAAGAGCCTTCTCTTTTATCAAAGAGCCTTCTTTTTCAAATCAAGAGCCTTTTTTTTGCTAAAGGAGCCGCCTTTTTGCCTACTACGCATCTTCTGCTTCATCTCTGGCAACTTCTGTTGATTCCGTTCATCTATGTTAAGGTCTCTAATGGTCTTAACAGTCTAATATATATCCAGTATCATCCCAGTCCCTTGTTTATAACAGTAGGAATTAATACCATGATTAAAATAATACTAATTTGTTATGCTTTAAAAATAGACGACGAGCTTCCAAACTTGCAAGAATTATTTCAAACAAAATTAAACATACAACAGATAATCAATTTAACATATATTACACATACAAGAATGAATTAACGTCCCATTAAATTCCTAGCGATCATCTAGGTATGCACAGAACACAGGCAAGGGGAGAGAGATAGAATAGAAATTGCCTCTTAAGGTTTCGGTTTGAAACCTTTAACCGTCTTCTTCCTAGGTTTTCCGGCGACCTTAGTTGCCATTGAACCTCCTCTGCTGCTCTTGATTTAACCCACGAGCCAACCCCTGTTCTTCCTCCTCCTTGGTTCAGCCCTCTGGCCTAAACCTAGCTTTCCTTCCTCTCAATTTCTCTCTCTTTTCCTCTATATAACACTGTACGTGCATAGGGTTTTTCCAACCCTTTTGAAGACGTATAATAGTGTATTTATAGGCACCAATAAAACCCTAGATCCAATTCTAATTAGAGATGGAAAACCTAATTAATTCCTAGTCTAGTCGGCCAATACGTGATCCATAAAAGACTAAAATCCTAATTTTATATTACAACTAAAAATACCAATAATTAAACCTAATTAACTCATTTAAATAAACAACCAAACCATTTAAATAATTAAAGCTAATTTAATTCAAGTAAAGAAAATAAAAATATAATTAGACAACCAATTAAACAAACAATTCAATTAGATAACAATTAGTCCATTAAACAACCAATCCACATAAATAAAATAATTAATCAATAAACATAAGCACATATTCATATAAGCACATCAAATACAATAACTAAATTCCAATTAAGTCCTTTTTAAAATTAGGGGTATTACACACCACCACTTTCCAACACCACCACCTACACCACTAATGCTTTCCACCTTAATGAGAAAAAAGAGAAAGTTGATACAACATAGAGAGAGAGAGATTATAAAGGCATAAAACAAGAGAAAAAGAGGGGCTAACAAAAAAGGCAAAACAAAAAGATCTTACCATAGCTGAAAAAGGGTACTTGTAATATTTGAAAAAAGATAATTATTAATTTTTAAAATTAGGGTTATTGGTGTTATTTTGTTTAAGGTTATAGCGCAATTGTATCAAAGTAAGTGCAAAATATCCCTCCCTAAATCAAATTATATATTATTTTAATCAGATCCAATCATTAACGGATCTGATAAGCTATAGTCCATATTCAATTTGTTAAGTGAACATATTTTTAGATTTGAATCACTATCAGCTTATTGAATATTTTCCTCAAATTATATCCGAATAATCATTTCATATTCAAATCAAATTCGAATTAAAATCTGATACATTCATATGTGTACCTTAGTCACACAATTCGTTCAAAGAGGCCTCGAACGCGAATTTGTGATTTGAGAGTGAATTCGCACAAAATCCGCGAATTCAATTTTTACAATTCGCAAATTTATTTTCCTAATTTGCGATTTCCATACTAATATACTTTATATAGCTAAATTTGTTAGAGTGAATCACCTATATTACCATATATGCATTTATTATTTACACTATTACTCAATATATATATATATTAATTTCTTAAATTTCAATGTGCCCAGCTATACTACCATATATATATATATCTATTAAGTATACATGTTTGAAAATATACTACTAAAAAACTTCCCAATTAGATAATATTACAAGTTTGAAAATATACTACTAAAAAACTTACCAATTAGAGAATGTTACAAATAAATCATACATCTATTAGTGAGAAAAGTTAGTTTATTTATTACATATATCATTAATAAATAATCATGAATATATATGCATATGGATTTAAATAAATAAAAATATATAAAATATATATGTCATGACTTGATATAAATTAGCTCTCAAGACGCTCTCGCTATTAAAAATTTTAAACTTTGACGCTTTCGTGCTCTCGCTTTCGCTCCCGCTCTATGTGACTTAGGAGTGTATTTTTAATAATTTTAGACTTTGATGTTTTCGCTCCCACTCCCGCACTCGCTCCCGCTCTATGTGACTTATGGGTGTATTATTAATGCAGTGCAATATTTAATTAGTGGACCATGAGATGAGATGATATCACACCACCATTCTCCTTCACTGTGAATTAAAGATCCTTCGCAACCAGTAAAATAATAATAATAATAATTTTTTTTAAAAAAAATCTAGCTTTAAACAAAACCAAGCTTCTTCATATGATTCCATGTCAAGTTGTGCCCGAGATTATGGCTTCTCCATGTATGTGTACGATACTATCTCCACCATCAGCAAGTCCTCCCCCTCTCTCTCTCTCCATGAAGGTCGTTCACAGAAAATGACTAATTATGCATTATAATTTTACTAATTTCTTGTGGAGGGTGGATTTGAGGAAGCTTCGATGGCTGTACGTGTACGCTAGGGGTATGCTAAGGACAGCCTCGTCGGGTGGACCATTGGTTATGAAGAAAAATCATGGTCAGGTCTGGTATAATTCACATTTAATCGAGTAGGTGGGGAACGTTTCTTTATAGATAGAGAACGTCGAGAGAAATCAGTGGTGATCGTAAGCTGT